CTGCCAAGTTATTTCCTTGGGATATATTTAGATAAAGCGAGATGATGGAGAAGTGGGCGACGCGTATTTGCTCAGGGCTGTTTGCACACGCTGACCATGGTGTTTTTGAAACTGACGTCCAGGAGCTGGATTGGAGAAGAGCCCCAGTGTAGCTCCTTGTGGAGGTAGAAGGGGTCAGGGAGAGAGTGAGTGGCAAGACAAGTCCTCTCTTCCAAAGATGGAACGCAGGTGTTTGGGCCCCACACCATACCCCTCTGCTGCCTCCTTCCCATCTGAATGAAGTAGAGCTCTAAAGCTACGAAAAGAAGTTGGAGAGGTAACTGTGAGTCCCACACTCTGCCCATAAGGCAGCTTTCTGCTGGAGCCGGGTGGCCTCTGGCACTGCACACTGATAAGATAGGAAATCAGATTACTCTGTGGTTTGTGTTTACTGAAAATCCTGGGGACAGTACTGGCTCCCCAGAGTGGTGGGGGTAGGCAGGTCTGGTACCACACCCTTGCTGAGACTGTTTCCCTGAGCTTCCTGCCTGCTGCTCCCTCGTCAGTGTGCCCCTCTTGGTGAGTCTGGGTTCGTGCCTTCCGTGTGACAGTAAGGCATGGTAGTGCAGAGAGGGGTCCAAGCTAGGCCTCCCCAGACCTAATCAGCTTACAGTGGGGCAGGGCAGTGCTCTTCTGTGATTCAATTGAAAGCCTCGATCTGCTTGATGGAGGCAGCTTTAATGAGATTAGAAAGCTTAACCAAGAGGCCAATTAAATCTGGGCCCGTACCTGTTTGGGTGGCTGTTGAAGCCCTGACCTGCACCCGGAGGCTTCCTGCAGGCCTCCTGGGAGACTGGTTGGGGAGCATGAGGGGGCAGAAGACGCCTGCCCATCTGGCCCAGCCGTCCCCATAACTTGGAATCTGTTTCCCCTGCTGGGGTCAGGGCAGAGACAGAACCGAGGAGGGATCTGATAGAACATCTGGTCCAGGAGCTCCCAGAAGCTGGATCCCTGCCCCCTCAGGAAGACAGGCAGCTTAGTTGTTGCAAAGCTCACTACATGATTTTGATGTGCAACCAGGCTTGGAAACCAGGAAGTGAATCCATTCCCTTTGTTTTATAGGTACAGGGAAGGGCCTTTTGGGGGCAGCCAGCCAGGCCTGACTCCTCACCTAGTGCTCTCGTGTGGCATCTTTATTCCCAGCTCCTTTGATTGTCCAGGGTGATGGGGATGGTGGTGTTGCCCTTCTGTTCCCAGACAGTTTTTTGTTTGTTTTTTGAGACAAAGTCTCACTCTGACTCCCAGGCTGGAGTGCAGTGGCACAATCTCAGCTCACTGCAACCTTCGCCTCCCAAGTTCAAATGATTCTCCTGCCTCAGCTTCCTGAGGAGCTGGGATTACGGGCACACACCACCACGCCTGGCTAATTTTTGTATTTTTAGTAGAGAGGGGATTTCACCATGTTGGCCAGGCTGGTCTCGAACTTGTGACCTCAAGTGATCCGCCCACCTCAGCCTCCCAAAGTGCCAGGATTACAGGTGTGAGCCACTGCGCCCAGCCTTCAGACGGTTTTTTGTCTGTTTCTTCATTTGTGCTTCATGCCACTGTTGTGAGGGAGGCCAGGCAGGGAATGGTGGCTTCTCTTTTTACAGATAGGCAAATTCAGGTTGGACTCCTGTCCCAAACTGGTGCCAGACCCAAAGGGCCTGATTCAGGGTTAAGGTCTTTCCCTTCCATGACTTAAATCTTCCTTGTGGTTCCCACTGGAGGTAGTGGTGGGTGGTATGTGAGTTTGTGATGTCTGGATCCAGCCAGGAAGAAAAATCCCAGCATCCATTAACTGTGACCTTGTGCAAGACACTTAACTGTTCGTGTCACCAGCAAGATAGGTTGGCTATAAAATAAAGGAGTGGATTCACTCACCTCAGGAGATTGTTGGGAGGATTAAGTGAGATCAGCCTCCTTTGGTGCCTACATGAGTCTCAGGATGTAGGGCTTATTATTGTTCCTGGGACACAGAGCCAGGAGGCTTTGGGGGCAGGGACGGCAGGGCTCTGGGACTCTGCTCTGCAGGAGAGTGGTCCCCAGCTGGTCCCCAGGGGACAGGCCATCCTTGGGGAGAACAGGTAGAGAGGGTTTAGAATGAATACCCATTTGGCAAGTATTTCTGGAGCACCTGACGGATGCGTGCCAGGCACTGTTCCAGGGGATGCAGCAGAAGCGTGACCCTCACAAATCGTGTGAGGCAGGCAGTGCTTATTATCCTCATTTTCTAGATGACACAGCCAAGGCACAGACATCTTGGGAAAACCAGATTCCGCTGGTGTATGGACCAGAGGCCACATCTGTCCAGCCTGGCTGTGGGACTCCTTCATGTACTGCGGTTGTAGATTCAAAGTGTCCGAAGGCCCAAATTTAAATTAATAATTCCTGCCTTGGACAGAGAGGACCATGGCAATGGCCTTAAATGGAATTAGACAAAAATAGAAGGAAAACAGACCGCCTTAGGCCAGATTTGCAGCAAAGTGGGGACCTTGTCAAGAATGGTCCTGCTATGCTATCTCTGACTTGCAAGTTTCAGGCTAGGAACAGAACCAGCATTCCCATTCAGATCTCTCCAGAGGTTTTCGTGTTTGTCTCTTCCAACAGTTGTTTGAGGAGAGAGACAAGAAAACCTTTGGGAGTTAGGCTGCTTTTTTCACCTTTTGACATTTGGGTTTACCAGAATCTGGTCTGTTCCTTAAAGTTACATTTTTATAAAGCAGACAAATAAGGAAGAAGGGGGAAATATCCCAGAAGAACCAGGCCTAGCTTTGTCCAGGAAGCTCCTTTGCAGTCTCCAGTCATTTGATGTTTATTGATAGTAGACATTGTAAATATTTGGATTCCACTTTTTGGTACCAACAGTCCTGCAGGGAGATAACCTTTGTCTATATAAGAAGACCAGGTAGAAAATGCTGGAAGAGTTTAAGTAAAGTCTCATGTGAGATTGGAGGGTGAATAAATCATCCTGCCTTGTGTCCAGGATGGCCTAAGGGATATGTTAGAATGGCAGAAACTAGCAGAGACGTGGGCATTCCAGATGGAAGCGGGGAGGGCATGGGCAAAGGCTGGGGACCAGCTAGTGTCCCCTGTGGCTGAAGCTTAGGGTATGAGAAAAGGGGGAGGTTGGAATGGGAGGCAGAGAAGAGAAGCTGAGATGACATCACAGCCCTTTCATTATCTCCTTGTTTTTAAAAAATCTCGTGTCAACCCGGAGATTGTCCTGTATTACAGGGTGCAGCTCAAGTCAGAGGTGAATTGCCTGCCTCTCTGAATTGATCAGGGAGCCCAAGAGCTGGAGCTCCTGCCCTAAATCTAGTGCTCTGTCTGCTTGGTTAGGAGGCCATTGGTATTGCATGCTCTATGGGATGCCTCATGAAAGGGACACAGGTGGAAACTGTGTCTTCTAGTATTGAGTTCTAGCTCATGAACCTACTTGGGACTTCAGTACTCACTTGGACTGGGAACAGGGACATTTGAGCTGGGCATTGATGGATGACTGGGAATTCTCTAGGAGATACATGGACCGGGGTGGAGGCAGTGGTGAGGAACCTGAGACTTGATCTGTTAGGGGCTGGAGCCATTCCCAGGTCATGATCAGCGCAGGGTTGGGGCAGAGTAGAGATGCGGCCAGGGGGCCCTGATGGGCTGCAGAGATCCTGGTCTCTCCACTGTCCCCTTCTCTCTACCCCTCTCAAGTTTCATCTCATGTCAAGTGAGGGACTGAGGAAGGGACGGGGAGGGGAGGCTGGGGGTGATGCATTCCTCCCGCATGAGCTCAGGGCTTGCTCTGTGGTTTGTCTCTGATTGCAAAAACCGTATCTGCTATAAATCTGTGGCTTAGAGGGTCTAGCTGTAAGGGGCAGTCCCTAGTTGGGTGGAGGAGCCTCTGCTTGTGGGATGCATTTTCAGGGAAGTGGAGGAGGGTATCGCAGGGTGGTACCCCACACCCTGCTGTTCTCAGCTTGTGTGCCAGCCCGTTTTTCCTCTGCCGTCTCTGGGCCCCACCAGTGGTGGGCAGCCAAAGCCCATGGGAAAGTGGCTCCCTAGGCTAGTGGAGCAGACAGCCATCTTCTGAGAGGCCAGGGAATCCAACCTGTCTGAGAAAAAATAGCAGGCTTCATCTTGGAGATGGAAGGGAGGCTGGCCGAGAGGACTGGGAGAGGCTACTAGGTCTCAGTAACCCACAGAGGCCACTTGAACCCTTTCCTGTGCCCAGCCCACTGGGCCTGGTCTTGACTTCTTCCACCATGGGAATGAAAACAGGGCCCCAGCTCTGTGAGGCCACCCCACTCCCTCTCATTGCTTTTGTCCTTCCTTGGAGCTACAAATGCTTTCCCCAGACACTAGCTGAAGCTGTCTTTCCCATTGTCTTGGGAGGGGGTGATACAAGGATGATTTCTATTTTAATGACCAATGACTCTGGGAGATGTGGCCTGCCCAAGTCGTTTGCCAGGGCTTTACAGGCAGAGGGAACAGCGTGTGGCAGGGTGTGTGTGTTTTGTTTGTTGTTGTTATTTGGAGAGGAGGGGCTAGTTGTTTGGATGTAGCCAAATGGTAAGTTAATGGAAGGTGACTGAGATAGCTAGTCTTAAGAGTTTGACCTTTTAGATTTGGTGACTGTTCTTGAAAAGCAGGATTTCTTTTTTTCTTTTCATTTCTTTTTTTTTTTTTTTTTTGAGATGGAGGAGTCTCACTCTGTCACCCCAGCTGGAGTGCAGTGGCGTGATCTTGGCTCACTGCAACCTCCACCTCCCAGGTTCAAGGGATTCTCCCACTTCAGCCTCCCGAGTAGCTGGGATTACAGGTGCCCACCACCATGTCTGGCTAATTTTTTTTTGTAGTTTTAGTAGAGACGGGGTTTCACCATGTTGGCCAGGCTTGTCTTGAACTCCTGACCTCAGGTAATCCACCCGCCTCAGCCTCCCAGAGTGCTGGGATTACAGGCGAGAGCCACCATGCCTGGCGGAAAAGCAGGATTCCTGCAAGAATTTTATTTATCCAAGAAATATTTACTGAGCCAGCATCTTCCCCGTGCTGTGCACACCATTCCTGCCCCCATCCCTGGGAGATAGCTGGCTAATTTAATAAGGAATTAACAATCAGGTGTGACACACACTGTGCTGAGAAACACATAAAGGACGAAAGGGTATCACCCAGGCCTGACTACAGACAAGAGTGTTGCAGAGAGAGGAACCTGCCTGTGTTAGAGGGTGGTTGCTGTAAATATGTGTGAAAGAAAGACTTTTGTAAGCTGGTGCTAGGTACTAAATATGTGTAAGGAATAATAGGTTATTCTTCTCTGAATGGGACCCCAATACATGTTTCATAAAGACCTTCCTTTGTGTTTTCAATACCATATGGATGGGTGGCATGAGTAGGGGATGGACCACCTCTATGAGAAGTCCCGTGTTTGTTTCGGAAGCTGAACTTGGGTCAGAATTCTCAGTAGATGAATTCCCGTGTCCCTTCAGAAGCCTCTGACCAGCCTGCATGCCTGCGATCCTCCTAGGCCCCACCCAGGCCCCACCCCCTTAGCAGATCTCTCACCGGGATCCTAAGTGATGTGTGTGTTCTTGGGTGCCCTGGCCCTGTTCTTGGTGGGTGCAAACAAGAAAGCCCTGCTTTGTGCACCTGGTAGACACCCAACAAGTAATCTGTAGTGAGCTCCAAAGTGGCAGCCCCGCTTTGCCCTTTAGCTCTGTGGCTCCAACCAGACTTTAGCAGGCCACAGACTGGGGTTGCAGGCCAGTGCTGTGTCTTGGTCAGAGGCAGGCTGGTTCTTGGTGGGTGCCCAAACCACCTCTTCGTCCCCTCTGTATTAGTTTTGGAGCAAACCATCCAGCCACCATCCTCCAAGAGCCTCCTCTGAGAGCATGCCAGGCTCTGTTCTAGAAGGCCACTTGGCAGGGTGGGGATGTGATGCCTTGTGGAGGGGCTGATAACTGTGATGCTAGAATTTGAGACATCTGGAATGGCTGTATTTGGTTCCCAGGGGTATCAGGTACCGGCGATATTACCCTTCTTGCCCCAGAGACAGACACATGTACACACATGTGCACACGCACATGGAATACATGACCTGGTGAATTTTCCTGTTGGAGGCTTTAGCATTCCCTTGCTTTGGCACCACTCTCTCTCGTTTGTTCAGAGCCCTGAGGGCTGGGATTGGGGTGGGATGAGGATCACTGCTGTCTGGTCTGAGTGCAGCAAACCTTCCTGGATCTGCACCCTGGAGTCTGGGGTTTGAACGGCAGCAGGGGACCTCAGAGGGCTCATGCAGGGCCTCGCTCACAACACAGGAGCGTTCTTGGGGGAACTGACATGAGGCTTCACAGTGGCCAGGGCAGCTGGGGCCGTAGAAGGACGTGACCTGGACTCTCATCCCTTCCTGTAGCTTTGGGGCTCACCCACCCTGTCATTTGTACATGAGGCATCTGGGGCTCTGAGAGGGGAAGGGGTTGCCTTGCTCTTGGTTACCGAGCTAGTTTCTGTCAGAGTTTTCATTAAGGCCAAGTTGTAGGCCTCTCTTGTGTCAGTCTGAAGAATTTGGTAGAGGGGAAGAATTGTGGATTTAAAAGTCAGGTAGACCTGGTTTGAATCCCAGGACCGCCATTTCCTGGCCTGCGATGCGGTCTCTGGCTGTTCTGCTCTCAGAGCTTCAGTGTTCTTCTCTGTGACACAGGGAAGATAATGCGGGTCTACCCCATAGGGCTGTTGAGAGGATCAAAGATAAGTACGTGAAAGGCCAGGCATTAGGAGGCACCTGTGAATGCACCAACTGTGGCATTCCTCCCACTCCCTTAGGCTGTGCAGGGGAGAAAGGGAGGGCCTGGCTGGAGCTTGTCACCTTCAGGGGAGTAGAGTCTTGGCTGAGGGGTCTGTCCTTGGCTTCTTAGAACACTAGAGGGCCCAGCTGCAGGCCGAGCCATTGCTACTCAGCGCCCACCTGGTGGGTAAGGGGGTCAGTGTGGGCCTCTCTCCCTTCCTACTCAGCTGTATCTGGCAGATGCCCAAGAGTTGCCTTCCAGAGGCTCCAGACGAGGTTCCCCATGGGCAGCACTGGTGCCTGAGCAGGATGCAGGCTGGTATCTGGATTTCAGGCAGGAGAACCATCTCCGCTATGCCTTGCCTGACAGCTGGGTGTGGAGGGCTGCCTGAACGGACAGCAGCAGACACTCTAAGTGCCCAGCGCCTCGTAGTGTTGTTGGGTCCCATTTCCTTTGCTTTGTGACCTACATCATTCTTTATTTGCTAAACTCTCTGAGCAGGCAGCAGTAATAAATCAATTAATGACTCCGATGAATCGTTTAATGGCTGACAAAATAACACTAAAGCCAACAGCTTGCATCTCTCCAGCAGTACCAAAGGACGCTGGTTGACTCAGGGTGGGGGACGAAACAGAGACTGTTAGCTAAATTAGCGCAATTAGCGCGTGCTTTAAAGGCTTAGACGGCATCTGCTCAGCACCGAGCCTGCGTGGCAACTGTGCGCTGGGACGGCTGTGCAGACCACGGTGGTCCACTGCTCACTGCCTTCCCTTCTGGCCCGAGGAGCTCAAGGACTCCTGGCTGTTCATTTACACGGAAGAGGAGGTGTTGGGTTTGAATTATGTGCCCCTTCCCTGGCATTGGGGGACCTGGGTGAACTTGTCAGACTGTGTCCTGTCACAGCAGAGGAGGAGGTGAGGGAAAGTGACTTGGTCCCCACTGAATTTGATGCTTACTGAGGAGAGTGTGGGCTCCCATCCTTGAAAGATGTTCTGAGGGCCCTGCCTTTAATGATGTATTTTAAACTTAAAAAAATAAATAAAGTTTCTAGAAGCGGGTGGTTTTCTGTTCTCTGCACACCTCGGTCCTGGCAGGATTAAGTTGTCATTGGAACTGAGCGTGTGCGCGGGTCCACGCCAGGGAATTTTCCACTTTGCAGAAGCAACTGCCAGTGTTCTTGTTAAGGAGCTGTCACTGGCCTACTATGACATGTTTGTGGTTGTAAGTAGCTCCTTTAAGACAGTGGGAAATGTGTGTGTGCGTGTGTGTGTGTGTTTTGCTAATGGTGTAAACCAGGGCCTGAAGCTCATTTCTCTCTAAGAAGAAAATCAACGTTGTACAAATACTGAGCTGTTGATCCACTCCGCAGTGTTCATCTGGGGGGGACCTCTAGCCCTTAATCTTCCTTGTCTTGCATGCACACGCCTGGGACCTGCGCCCTGTGCCATGTGGCCCAGCTGGGAGGTATCTGCCTGTGGAGGAGGGTGTGCTGGCTGGGATCCACTCTCTCACCAGGTACTAATTATTAAATACATGGGACTTCACCTCTTACCAAACAGTGACCTTTGATCCAGTCCCCAGAAGAAGCCGGGTGCTTCCTGGGATGAATGGGCAGGGCCCGGCAGTATGGTAGCCTCAGACTTCTCAGCCCAGGGAATTCACTTCCTCCTTTTTTGGGGGAAATGTTCTTACTGTGGTACCTTTCTTTCATTTTTAAAAAAAGAAATAGTATTTTCCTAAGGTGGCCACTAAGAAGAGAGAGGCCCCTTCTCAGAAGAGCGGCTTTTCTGTCCATCAGAAGGCCTAGTCTTTCCACAGCTTTCAGCCCCTTTTCGTCTCCCCATCCCCAGCCTGCTGTGGTCAGGGAATCTTAGGACGTCAGCATGTGGTCCTTTGCCTGGAGCTGTCTCTGGCTCTGGGCTGCTGGTTGCTGAACCCTCACCTTGGCTGAGCCTGGCTGGGCACCTTACCTAAGGGTCATATTTAAGTTTCCCATGCCCCCCACAGAGGGTAGGGGACTCCCTTCCTTAGCAAATGATGAGGGGCACAGAAGGTAAAGTGAGGTGTCTGAGAACTCAACCCCTGGTGAATGAAAGAACTGGGCCCTGACCTGTTTGCAGGTGACCACTTTTAAGTGTCGATTCTGAAACTTGGATCAGAGAAGCTGAGGTATGGCCAAGAGCTGGGGCTGTGGTATTAGCAGATCTGGGCTTAACTTCTGGTTCTGCCCATTTCCGGCCATGTGACCTTGGACAAGTCCCTTTGCTCCTCAGAGCCTCTGTGTTCTGGTAGTGACTGCGGATTGTTGGGAGGATGGAGGGAGAGAGACTGGATGAGCCATACCATGAGCTGGGTCACAAGGGACCGCCTAGGGACAGTGAGCCTTCTCTGACTAGGTGGCTGGCCCCTCTCCTGTGGGGGAGCCCCCCCATCCTAGGGGAGGGAAAGTGAACAAGCCCCACGCCCACCCCCTATCCTGGAGATGGTGCAGGGGGCAGGTGGCGTCCTGGAGGGATTTGCTCTTTAAGGAGAGGCTGTCAGGAGGCCCTGTGCCCGGGGAGGGTTAAAATGACAGCATAATCTCTCACCCCTGTATCACCTCCTGCATCCTCGAGTCCTGCCATTCTTTAAGGCCCCAGCTCAAGTACCATCTCTTCCACAAAGCCTCCCTGATCCCCTTAATCCCCGCTCACAGTGCCTGTCCAGAGCACCTTCCCTGTCCCTCAGTTCTCTGTCACCACAACTCCTTGCATCCTCCTGACCTGCGGGGCAGACCCGCGCCCTGTCATCTGCTCTGGTGAGCACAGCGCAGTCTGGGTGGCCCCAGAAGCGAGTGTTTGCTGATGCATCCGGTGTGTAAAAAGCACTTGTAACCTTTTTACAGCTCCCCCCAGCCCCCACCTGTTTCTCCTCCTCCCAGGGTAATTGGCCAGTTAGATTCAACAGACTCTTCAATGGGATCTTGCATTCCTTGATACACATGTGCACGCACACGCACACACACACACACACACACACACACACACACGCCACCCACCCACCCCAACTCATTGAAGTATTTGTCAGAAAGAGCAGAGCTAGGTCCGGCTACTTGGGGAAGCACAAAACATATAATAGACAGTCTCAAACACAGGAATGGATTGTGCTTCTCTTGTGTTTAATGAAGTGCCAGCTATTTCATAAGCGTCAAAGCACACAGAACTTTTCCTGGGAACTACAGGGGTGGGCAGTATATGACTGTGGTGTTTTTGTTTTTTTTTTTTGAGATGGAGTCTTGCTCTGTCGCCCAGGCTGGAGTGCAATGGCTGGATCTTGGCTCACTGCAAGCTCCGCCTCCTGGATTCATGCCATTCTCCTGCCTCAGCCTCCTGAGTAGCTGGGACTACAGGCGCCCACCACCACACCCAGCTAATTTTTTTTTTTTTTTGTATTTTTAGTAGAGACGGGGTTTCATGTGTTAACCAGGATGGTCTCAATCTCCTGACCTCATGATCTGCCTGCCTCAGCCTCCCAAAGTGGACTGTGGTTTTGTTTTTTGAACCCAAGATGCAAGGTGGAGGCACAGAGGGACTAACGTTAGAGCCACTTAGCTGCCTGACCTTGAAATATTGCACCTCTCTGTGTCTCAGTTTCCTTACCAGGAAAACAAATGACATCTACCCAGCGATGTTGGGGAATAAATACTACCCCCCCACCCCCGCTGATTTATAGGATCAAAATGAAAAGGCAGTTGCTTCTCCAGCCCTTCTTGCATTCCAGGGTCGTACCCAGGTGGCTGGGACTTAGTAAAAGAAGCTCAGGTATCAGGACCACCCTCATCTGGGTCTGATGGCAGGTTGAGGCTTTTGTTGTCTATATGTGGCCCTTTTCAGGTTGCTTGCTGAAGAGCTCGTTTGACATCCACAGTGTCACTGGAGCAGTGGACCCCAGCTGCCTTGTGTGGAGGCCAGGGACAGAAAGGCCTGATCAGATCACACAGTAGGTGGTTTGCAGCCACAGCTGGAATCCTGATCCTGGGACCCTCAGTCCAGGGCTCTTCTGTCTTAATAATCCCCAGGCCCAGGTGGTGGTGGGTCCTATGGCAATCCCTTTTTAATATGGTTTGTGCCATGTCTCAACTGGGAGTGACCCCAAATTATCACAGCCCGCCCCCTCCTGAGGCAGCCAAGAGGCTTTTTGTAGCTCGGGGCATCTGCTGTTGGACCCAGGGCCATCCATTGGTGCCAGGAGGCACGTCCATCCCTCCTCCCACACCGTGGCCCCCTGACTATTTGAAGGCAGGGATCCTGTGTCACGCCTGTGTGTCATCCAAACCTATTTTTAACGTCAGCTGGTTCTGCCTCTTCACGTAGCAACAGCTCTGTTTTCTCCAAGCTGCACAATTAGAGCCCCTGTTCTCCAAAACTGATTCTGTTCTGTGGTCTGCATATGAAACCAGGAATCCTCTTCCTGTCCCCTTCCCTTCTTTGAACCCCAATTCTGTCCATCTTGGCCTTTCCATCTGGATGATGACATTCCCCCAGTCGCTTCCATTCCTGATTTGTGTCGTTAGTTTGTTGATGCTGCTGAAATTCCCTCTGGGAAACCTGGCCCCAGAGGGACCCAGGTTACTCCATAGTTTGCGCAGAAGCCCCTGTCTTGCTGAAACCAGTGCCAGCCTCCCTCCCTCCCTCCCTCCCTCCCTCCCCAGGCCACCAGACAGGCGTCACTTGGAGGCTTCCTGTGTCACTTGCTCTCTGCATGTAGTCATCACAGGAGTGCCCCAAGCTCCCCTAAGTGACCTCCATTTCCCAGCTTTGAGCACATGGCTCCACCCCCAGCACATGCCTCCCACCCCCTGGTGTTTTGGGCCCTGGGCCATACAGCCTGTGTTGAGTTTCAGTCTGGGAAGTCGTCTGCACATGCAGTTCTGCATGTGGCCCCCAAGCTGCTGCACGCCAAGGCCTGAGTATTAGGGTGGGGCAAGGAGGGGAGGGGATTTACAGAACAAAGTACCATTTTGCAGCCTTGTAAATCAGTCAGGAGGGGTTGGCCGACCTGGCAGGAGTCCCACATTTCCCTCTGAGCATTTGTTCTTATTCAGTTTTCCAGGAGCTTCGTGTGCCTAGAACTAATTTTAAAGAGAGGGTTGGAGGGGGGATCCCAGGCTAGTTTGTGAGTGAGGATAGCTGGGGTTCTTGAAATGAGGCCAGAAGATAGTATCTTGCAGGGAATGCCCCTGGACCATTGCTTCTTGAAGGAAAAGCATGAACACTGTTGCCTACTATGAGATACTTCTCTCTGTAGGTGGGATGAGAGGCCACTGGGAGTGTGGGGACTTGTCAGGTCCACTTGCTCCTGTAGTTTGGGGTACTCTGGTGGTATTGGGATTTGTTGAGCGAGCGTGAGTGTGCCTGGCTCAGGGTGAGGTGGGACAGTCAGTAGAAGTCCCCCACCATTGCCCAGAGCAGAAAGTTCTATTCCTTAGCCTGGTTTCCAAGGCACTTTCTCTTGGAAGCACCTTTCTGAGGCCGTAGGTAGGCCCCAGGTTTGAACCCTGCTTCTCTGCCCTGGAGGGTAGAGGGGGAATATCCATCTCCTGGGGTGAGACTGGTGTTGAGGTTTTCAGGTGTCCTTTTGGAGTGGGATTGCGGGGGATCTCTAGTTGCAGTGGCATGTGTCTGTCCCGTTGGAGCGTGGATGGGGTGGAGGCAGGGGCAGTGTCTGAGCCCCATGGCTATGTACCCGTGATCAGTCCTCTTCGCAAGTCTCCCTGACTGGGAATGGCGAACTTCAGGCAGTGCTCTGGGAAAGCACCTCGGAATTTTCAAGTTGACTATAGGTTTAGAGGCGGCAGGTGGCTGGAATGGGCCGCATCACCCTGTTTAAGGCCTGTTTTCTGTTTAGAAAAGAATTTTAAATTAGCTTTATTTTTTGTTGTTGTTGTTGTTGCTGTTTTTTTAAAGTGGGAGTTACCAAACTGCATGGGTTGTTTGAGTTGGCTTTCTCGAGTCCAAAAAGTGGATAAGCGTTGGTGTGGAAGGCCTGGGCGATTGGAACTCAAATGTCAGTCACTGTTATCTGTGACTCAGGTAACAGGTCTTTGGGTAGTTTTTAATCTTTGATCACAAAATGGCCTATAATGAACAGAGAAGAGTTAAAACCCAGGTCCCCCAGCACTTTGGGAGGCCGAGGCGGGCAGATCACAAGGTCAGGAGATCGAGACCATGGTGAAACCCTGTCTCTATTAAAAATAGAAAAAAATTAGCCGGGCGCAGTGGCGGGCGCCTGTAGTCCCAGCTACTCAGGAGGCTGAGGCTGGAGAATGGCGTGAACCCGGGAGGCGGAGCTTGCAGTGAGCCGAGATTGCGCCACTGCACTCCAGCCTGGGCGACAGAGCGAGACTCCGTCTCAAAAAAAAAAAAAAAACAAAAACCCAGGTGCCCTGGAAAGAGGATTGCTGTCCTGTTCATGTAAGAGCTGCTGTTTCCAGTCCTAGCTCCCCTAGGTGTGTAGACTTAGCTGGGGAGAGCAGCTTGGAAAAAGACCCTTAATGGTCATCTCCTTTAACCCCATCATTGGATACATGGGGAAACTGAGTCCCAGAAGGAGAAAGGGCCCTGTCCATGGGCTCCCAGCTAGAAGATCTCTAGCTTCTGAATCCAATGTTCTTTTCTCTCTTCTTCCACGGGGACTTCTAGCCCGTGCACCCACCACAGCCCTGGCATGCTGTAGACCTTGGTGAATGACAAGGGTTTTCAGGGGTTTTGGTTTTGTGTTGTTAGAGAAAACTCGTGAGATGCTTTGCTTAGTGCCTTAGTGGAGCTCCAGCTCAAAGTTGGAAACCATCAGGAGAGGCCGGTTCCTGCAGTCTGGAAAGGCCTGGCTCCAGAGGGTCAGCTTTGAGCAGGTCTTTGAATAATACACGTAGTAATCATGATCGGTCCACGGCACTCCAGCCTGGGGACCAGGTCTCTAATTATAATAATAATAATTTTTAAGGTTTTTTTTTTTTTCCCCCAGTTATAACTTACCCTTATTCTAGATCCTGCCAATACACCTGCTGTATGCCTCACTTTGTGCTGGGTCTCAGAGACAGGAGAAACAGGCCCTGCGGCCGTTGAGCTGCAGGAGCGTTGGTACAGGGATTCAGTGTAATGTTCGTAAATATGGTTGGGTTGAGGGTACCTTGGTTTAGATTTTGTGAGCAAGTTATTTCTGAGCCTTTCCCAACCTCTTAACTCTTTTGTTGCCCTATACCACTGGTTGCTGCTTTTCGTTTTCTTCTTCGTACTTTTCTGTCCTTTTTTTGTTATGAGCACATGTTTGCTTCATAATCAAAGGGGAACAGCAATAACTATCAAAATTCAAGGCACAAATTTAAGCACTGCAGGACGACTTAATTTTGCTACTGAAGAAGCTTTAAATGATAAAGGCGTCTCCTCAGCTTCCTGCCCCTTAGTCACTGCTAACATGGTCTTGGTTTTTTGTCCTTCTTCATTGGAGAATAGCAAAACTCCGTCTTCCACCCCACATTTCAGAGAATTACACCGTGCATTTACTAGAACCATGGTGACCCTGGCCATTGCATTCAAAGAACCGTGGACTACCCACTACCTCCAGTTCCTAGAACCATTGACTCACTCCTGATCTCATAGGAAAATGATATCTTAGAGCGAAGGAGCCTCATAAATAAGGCAACAAAGCACTCGCAGGTTCAAGTTTTCATTTAAAAATTTTTTGTAGGCCAGACACGATGGTTCGCACTTGTAATGCCAGCACTTTTAGGGGCTGAGGTGGCAGGATTGCTTGAGGGCAGGAGTTCAAGACCAGCCTGGGCAACATAGTGAGACCCCCATCTCTACAAAAAATTTTAAAAATTAGCTGGGTATGGTGATGTGCACATGTATTCCCAGCTACCTGAGAGGCTGAGGCAGGAGGATCCCTTGAGTCTAGGAGTTTGGGGCCATAGTAAGCCGTGATCGGGCCACTGCACTCCAGCCTGGGGACCAGGTCTCTAATTATAATAATAATAATTTTTAGGTTTTTTTTTTTTAATTATAACTTACGCTTATTCTAGATTCTCAATATGTAATAAGTCAAATACCCAAATAGCAAAGGACATGAATGATTTGCCATAAAATTAGATCTACAAGTGGCCAATGCAAACCATTTCAAAAGGTAATGACCTAAGAGGTAACTCCGAATACCAAATACCAAAGGGATACTAACTGCCAGATTAGCAGACACTGAGATTTAATGCCTGTTATTTCATTGGTTAATAGGCTGGGTGTGGTGGCTCATGCCTGTAATTTCAGCACTTTGGGAAGCTGAGGTGGGAAGATCACGTGAAATCAGCCTGGGCAACATAGTAAGACCCCGTCTCTAAAAACAAACAAAATAAACTGGTTAAATAATGGTACATAAGAAGAATGAAATTGTTAAAGGTAACACCAGTCTCTGAAAGAACCTGAAGAAAATGTAGATGGGTGTTTACCTCCCCCCATTTTTAAAACAAGTTTTTTGCTCTTGCTGCTGAGGAGTGATTGTTGGCTGTTATCACAAAAAGTTGCCATTTTCACAGAACCACTGACCACAGAGAAACAATAATGCAGCCAACAGTAATGCGGCTAATGGATAAGCTGGCGATTCCCACAAGACCCCATCTCAGATAGTGCCAGGCAGGGGTGAGGCAGGGGCAAGGCAGGGGCCCGTGACCTCAGACCTCGGTAATGGGGAGATCTGCAATCCTAATTTCTGGAGATGCTTGAAACTTACAAACACATTATAGGATGGTTGGCAGGATAGCTTTTGCAGAGAGGGCTGTTTTTCTGTAAGCAGAATCATTTTGAAAAGTAACATGCAGCTTGCCCATTCTCTTCACCTGGGTCTGCTCAACACCCACTGTATGCCCTGTACTTCTTTGTTTCTAGATTCACAGAGCTGTCTCAGCTTACGAAACACAGCCCATTCTGTTATTTTATCCCCCACAGTCCTGGTGAGGAGGTGGGACAACAGCTATCGTATTTTTTACAGGAAGCAAATTCAGAAAGTTCAAGTGGCTTGCCCACAGTCATCCCACTTACTAGTAGAGGTGACGGTGCTGAAAACCAGGTGCATTTGTTCCCAGGTCTGTTTGTTCATTTTGTTGCATGCAATGTGTTAGTGGGATTTGCACATTACCTCATTTCCTTCCATCAGAGTTGGAAGTTAGAGGTTCTGGTTCTTTTTTTTTTTGAGATGGGGAGTTTTGCTCTTGTCATCCAGCTTGGAGTACAGTGCCACAGTCTTGACTCACTGTAACCTCTGCCTCCTGAGTTCAAGCGAATTCTCCTGCCTCAGCCTACGAAGTAGCTGGGATTGCAGGTGCCCACCACCACGTCCAGCTGATTTTTGTATTTTTAGTAGAAACGGGGCTTCGCCATTTTGACCAGACTGGTCTCAAACTCCTGACCTCAGGTGATCTGCCCACCTTGGCCTGCCAAAGTGCTGGAATTACAGGCGTGAGCCACCACACCTGGCGTCTGTTTCCTATTTTACCACTGATGAAAGGAAAGAGAGTAGCTTCTTGAAGGTGGTGATGGGAGGCTGTGTTTCTGAGAGGAAAAGAGGCGTTCTGTTTCCTACCCCAAGGGGCTCATTCCTCTTCCAGAGAATCAGTCAAAACCCTGGGCGATGATAGATGACCAAGTTTCACTTTCTCAGTCATGGTGGGGTTTGGGGACCACCAAGGTTGAAGGTAGACTTCCTGTAGGAGGAGCCCCTGGAGGCTTAGAATCAGTGGGAAGGAGCAGGGCCCAGTTCCAGGTAGGACTGTCAGACCTGCGACTTCCTCAGAGCTGGGGCCCAGACGCCTCAGCCTCACCCCCGCCTGTGTGAGCACGGGGCCAGGCACAGACAGGCACAGATGCGCCGACCACCTTGAATAGGTTGTACACAGATCCTTTGGAAGGAGGCCAGGCTAGGGAGAGCAATGTCTACTCACCCCTGGGAGGCATTTGTTGTGGCAGATATACCAGGCAAATGCCAGAATAGCGGCGTTTAAAGAGAAAAGGAATGACGGTCCCCCCACCTCATGAGGCCCTTCTCTCTCATGAGGCACCTAGGACCCTGCGGGGCCAAGAACACGCTCTGCCCTCCGTCACCCTCTCCAGTAGTGTTTCCCGGTTGGTCTGTTCACTTATTCATTGAGTCATGGATATTTATTGATCTTTTGCTTTATATGACATGCCAGCCATTTGCAGAGGGCACAGAAATTTATAAATCACTCCCCTGCCAAGAGCTTCTCAAGAGTAGGTGGGCAGACACGGCCCGGGGCCATATAATGCCAGGAGCAGCCACTGCACGTTGGCCATGCACACCCCTGCTCTGCACCGCAGGAAGTACCTTTGGCACTTTGTCTCAGGCTGTCCTTGCAGCCTCTCTGAATGGTGGACATTGCTCCCCCATTTTATTATTATTATTATTATTATTAGAGATAGGGCTGAACCTTTTGGGCTCAAGCAATCCTCCTACCTCAACCTCCCGAGTAACTGGGACTAAAGGCGTATGCCACTGCGCCCAGCTAATTTTTTATTTTTTGTAGAGACAGGGTCTCCTGATGTTGCCCAGGCTGGTCTCGAACTCCTGGGCTGAAGCGATTCTCCTGCCTCAACCTCCCAAAGTGCTGGGATTTTAGGTGTGAGCCACCACGCCCGGCCCTCCCATTTTAGAGATGAGGAAAAAGAGCCTCGGAATTGGTTGCTTCCTCAGTGGGGGCCGCACCTGGGAATTGAGTCCAGGTCTGAGTGTATAAGCCCTACTTGCTTCCTGTCAGTGGGAACATGACACTTCCCTGGGATGCTAGGAGGGATTTAAGTAGAAAGTGGCCTGTGAGGAAGGTCCACAGGGAATGCGGGCAGATGGGGAGAGCCAAGGCCAGGGGTCAGAACTCTGTGTCTCTGGTTGGGGGTTTGGCCACTAACCCTCTGCCTTATTGTCTCCACAGAGTGCAGCAGCTGCCCCGAGCCCCGTGCTTGGCAACATTCCCCCCAACGATGGGATGCCGGGAGGCCCCATCCCGCCAGGTTTCTTTCAGGTACGTGCGGGGCCCGTGGGTCTCGTGCTCCACATTATATTCCAGGCCAAGGCCCTGGGCAGGTGGGAGGGTGGGAGAGAAGTAAGTAGCTCAGTTTGCCATGGTCTAAATACAGTTGCTTTATGCTGGTTCAAATCCTTCCCTTCCCATCCCTTTCGCCAGTCCTTCTAAAAGCTGAGAGGGAGAAAAAGATGGGAAAGCAGACACCTCCTGCATTGCCTGCACTTCTGCTGGAGTTTGCTTTCTTCATGCCAGCTTCGTAGGCGCGACACAGTCTGCCCCTGGCCAGGGAGGCGGTGGGGGCTGCTCCCAGGCCACTGTGGAGCTTTCTTTTAACAAAAGGCTTTAAAAAATATCAGTAAATCGTTCTTTGTTTCTGTTTTGTTGCTGCTGCTGTTGTCATCGTTTACTTTGCCTGTCCAAACTACAAACCTTAGGCGTAATCTAAAAAAAACACAAAAACCCACCATCCTGGCAGGTCTCAGAATCCTTTCCCTCTGGTTAACCACTTGATTTTTTCCGAGTGTGATCACAGACAGCATCCCACAAGCATCTGTGCCCGTGCTCTGCCCGCCACAGGCAGGAACAGATCCCACGTGGGTCGAGAGCCTGGCCTTCTCCAAGAGACACCTTGTTCGGCTTTTTCTGGGGTGTGTGAAATTGGGCTTTCTGTTTTGCCAGGTTGGGCGCGGCTGCCACCCTCTCTGCACCGCCTCCTCCATCTCTACCTTCTCCCCGGTGGTTCATGTGATTTAAGCCAACTTGAGACTGGGAAATGCCATGTTAGGGAGGTATAGCGTGCAGGGCTGTAAGGAACTTTCATGATGACACTCACGATCATAACATCTCTCATTCTTTCAAGCCTGTCGGCAGCTGAGTTTGAGAATCCGCCCGAGTTCCCCACACCTTTTGAAAGATTGGCACTCCCAGATAAGAACATGGAAAGAGCTGTTACGTGGAAAGAAGAGGCAGAAATTTCTTCTGTGCAGCCCTAGAATTCACAACTAGGACCAGTGAGGCAAAGTCCAAAGACACTTTTGCTTGGTGTAGGCCAGAATTTAGCACCCGGGCTCACCCCACATCAAGGCGGGGGGCTCTCTGGCCCTAAATGCGTCTGAGCAAAGACTGACAGACATCTCTTAGGAACGTTAAAGGGGCGTCCCTCTGGGAGAGAGATGACCTGGAAGATGATTCTACTTGGCAAGGTTTTGTATTTGGGTTGGTGTTAACTCCCGAAAGAAGAGGGCTGGGACATGCTGCTCACCAGCTGAGAAGGACGGCAGTGAAATTCAGGTGTTCCCCAAAAACAGTAGTGGCAGGTCACGTGATGGTGGTAGGAGGAGAGAAAGGGACGCAGGATGGCCATCGGGAGCATTGGATGGCCACATGTGGATCTGTATGCATTCCCAGAACACTGCCAAAACTGGGGCCTTGTCCAAGGGGTGGAGATGAGCGTAGCCCCAGAAATAGGTATGTGAGCTCCAGGTTGGGACTGGACCAGGCATTGCCAGGGTCTCAGCTTGGGGCAAGGCTGCGACATATTGAAGATGGGTTGAGAGTTAGACCTTAAAATGCTGGAAACCCATGGGCCCAAGAAAGGCAGGAGCCAGTGGGGCTGCTGTCCTTCTCCCAGGGAGGAAATCCAAGGGGCCAGTGTGTGAGAGGCTCATACTCACCAAGGCAGGCATCTTCTTGGCCGCTGCAGATGGCACCCCACACCCATCAGTGGGCCTTTTCCCACTGGCATTCTGTCCAGTTGGGAATTCTTTCTAGGCTCAACATGCCATGGATGCTCTTGATGCAGTGCGGGTGTGGCTTCCCTGTCTGGTAGACCCACCCAGGTACTGTGCTTCATCTGTGTGCATCCTGATTGAAGCTGCTTGCTGGCATCTGGGTATCCGGTGCAGATTAGACCACTGTGGTAGAAAGAGGTAGACAATACCCAGTTGTATGTTTTAAAAATAGGCCATTGACTTCTATTTTGGCCTGTCTCTAGGACAAGGCTCAGGTCTGCCTGATATGTGGGCAGCTCCCAACTTCCTGCTTTGGTATAATCATCCATGGCTAAGGCCTAATTCCAGACATACTTCTTGGGCCCTCCCCTGTGACGTTTGGGTTGTGTGGTCAGAAAGCCAAGACTGATTCCTGTCCTTATTTAGCCATTACTAGCCACCATCAAACAGAGGTAACTTTTGGACCTTCTTGACTTGAGGTCACCTCTGTTTCCCAGGCACGGCATGCCATCAAGAGCTGACGGGGTCATCCAGCAGACAGCAGAGAGCAATGGCTTGGCCTCTCTGCTTCCTGGGTGACGTTGGTGACTCCTTTCTCTCACTTCCCGGCATCACTTCCCGATCAGTCACTTGCAGGGGGATGGGCTAGGCCAGGTACCTGGCCTGGTCCTTCCCAGCCATGATGCTGAACCGCTCAGGCTGGGGTCACTGCCAAGGGGAAAGGGTATCTCTCTGGAAGGAGGTACTGGCTGCCCATTTCCGGAGTAGGCCTGCTTACAACAGGAGTATTAGCTATTGATTGCCGGCCCCGTGCCTCACTGGTATTGCAGGCGGCCACTCTGATATTAGAAGGGGAAATAGAGATGGTATCAAGGATTTTATCTGCTACCAACAATTGCACTCCTTCCCCTGCTTGGCCAGGGCCTGGGTAGGAAACTCTGCCGCGGGATGGCTTTGCACCAGGGAGTCGGCTTGGGATGGCTGAGCCAGCTATGGCCAGACCCTGGCCTAGGGTGGCCAGCCCAGTTTTCAGGTCAGGACTTCACCCCTAGCTAGTCCTAAATGTAGAAGCCCCAGACCTCCAGGCTGAGTGGGAGGGAGCAGCCGCCCACCTCCATCCCGGTCCCTCAGTAAGCAACACGGGGCCTTGCTTCTGCAGGCCTCTGACTGCCAGGCTTCAGCTCCTGGGGTCAGAAGTTTTGGCAGACACATGAGGGTCTGCCATCAGCTTTCTCTTCTTCCACGTCCAGGTTTCCAAGGCAGGCAGTACCTCTCCGGTTCCGTGGCATGAGATGTCTCTGGTAGCAGGTTAAGGTCTGGCAGGGAGGTGCCTTGGAAATTGACCTGACCACACCTCACTGTTGGGGAATAGTGTGGGTTTCTTGGGGTGTTGGTAGAATTTAGCAACGGCATTCTACTTCTGAGTTCCTTTAAAAAAAAAAAAAAAAAAGACTGCCCTAATATTGGCATCCCCAGCACCTGGCATATATTAAGGACGCAGTAAATGTTTGAACCGAGTTTATTTGTATTGCTCACATTACAGAACGGGAGCCCAGGCAGCCCCAAAGCACCAGATCCAACATTCTGATCAGGGAGGGCCTAACAGGAAGCTGGCTTGGGAGTTCAGGAGTGGTGTTCTGGTGTTTTGCAGCAGGGAAGGACAAAGAGGACTTGGCCGCATACTTGCTGAGTGACCTTGGGCAAGTTGCTCCCCATCTCTGGACTCTAGTTTTCTCACCAGTAGATGGAGCAGGCTGGACCAGGTGGTCTCTGAGGGCCCTTCCAACTTTGATTTTCTGCTTTGGATCCAGATGGATTTTACATAATCAAACAGTGGCGTTTTTTTTTTGTTTTTTTTTTTTTTTTTTCCACGCAGCTTAGCTTGGTTGGGCTGCACATCTGGCAAACCCAGCTTAGCTTTGGCCAGTCTCACTGATCTGGGTGGGTCCCCTCGTTCCTTGGTCCTTAAGGGGGGCACTGTCCAGTAAGAATTTCTAAGTTCCTTGGCCCTAAGGTGGTCCTAAGGAGGGCACTGTCCAGTAAGGATTTCTAAGTCCAAAACGGGACTCATAAGAGGGCAGGGGTCATGGAGAACTGAGCATTGGGTACAGGCTGTTTTTCTTCTTGTTTTGTTTTTAAATTCCAATAATTGTTTTCAGTTACATAGTGTTTTTAAACATGCAACTTACTTTCATTTTCATCAGTGTTTCTGCAGAGAAGGCATGCAGATTGGAAAAGTGAGACTCAGAAAGGTGAATGACTTGCCCGAAGTTAACCGGGGGCTGTAATCAGAGTCTAAACCCAGATTTCCTGGTTCCTCCTGGGGTGCTCTTCCACAAACACTCCAAAGTCCAAATGTAGATACACATCTGATTGGACGGTGGAAGCAGGGAGAGTAGAGAATTAGAGAAAAGGTGGGAGAGACCAAAAGGAGATAGACAAACTATAACTCTTATCTAAAGAAGTAGCAAATAAGTTTCCATTCAAATGCCAGCTCTGCTTGATGTGTGGTGGCTGCTCAGAACACCGTGAGAATGATTCTGAAGCTGTTTGTCAACAGATAGTGACTGGCAATGTCTACCATGAACGTGAATGTGTCAGTGGTGGTACACGTCCTATTTGCCATCCATGATCTAGTCCAAGCTTCTCATTTGTAGATGGGAAAATGAAATCACAGATGGAGAAAGGACTGTGGTTATGACTGTCATTGGCCATCTCTGATATGCAAGGCATGGGGCTTGGTTCCAAGCTCGAACTGAATCAACCATAGTCTGCCCACAGGAGCAGCCAGCCTAGCAGAGAGACTGACAGGTAATCCATGCCCTGTGGCAGGACAGAGGACAGGCCTGCCTGCCTGCCAAGCTGAGAAATCAGGAGGGCATTCCTGGAGGCAGTGCAGCCCTGGCCGAGATGGTGTCTGGAATGAGGTGGTTGACAGGCGCTCAGCGGGAGATGAGGCTGGAGAGGTTGCCGGGCAGTTGTTGAAGGACCTTGTTGAGTGTGGGCTTGATCCAGTGGGCAGTGGGACACCAGGGCAGCACTCTGGGCTGGATAATGTCTTGGCCAGATCTGTGTTCCAAAACAGTTACTCTGCAGTTGTTCCAGTGGCTTCGTGGAGACAGGCACTTGGGCACTGTGGCCGGTGCTCAGGAAGTAGCTGACCACCTTTTTTTTTTGGAGACAGAGTCTCACTGTGTCACCCAGGCTGGAGGGCAGTGGCGATCTTGGCGATCTTGGCGATCTTGGCGATCTTGGCTCACTGCAACC